TCCTTCCTTCCTTCCTTCCTTCCTTCCTTCCTTCCTTCCTTCCTTCCTTCCTTCCTTCCTTCCTTCCTTCCTTCCTTCCCTCCCTCCCTCCCTCCCTCCTGTCTTATGGGGGTTGGTGTGTGTGCGTATGCGTGCGTGCATGCATGCCTGCACCTGTTGGACAGCATATAAATGTAATGTCTCTGTTATGCCAGGTTGTGTTTTCAGTAGAGATGGGAGGTTGTGAGTTTGTTTTCATTAGAGGAGTTGCCTGAGTGAGCATTTGTATGTGGGGGTTTGTCCCAGAAAGTAGGTGCGCTTCAACTCTTCTGATGTAGGGCCATCAGGGAAAAGTGACGTCCTGAATTCTCAGTGCCACTGCATTTTTGAGGACTGCTGATATTGTGGTTCATGTAATGTGATTCTGTGCACATGAACAGTATGTGTTGTGCACATGCTGAGACAAATAAATCTGCACAGGCTTTACCATGATCATTTACCAAAACCTGAAGCGCAAAAGATGAGAACAGGGCATGGTTCCAAAAGATTCGGTTATTCAATGTCCAGTGTTCCAGTGTTCCTCCTAGGCCTAAAAACACACTTGTGCAGGAACCAATTCTTGCTTTTATCTATTCCTCTCCCGCTAGGATGTTTGCTGTAGCAGGTCACTTCACCCTATTGCATGGCAAGTCAGCCCATGAGAAGAACTATACAGTATGCGGGTGAAAGCTATAGTTATCAGACCCAGGCTGCATGGATTCAGATGATCACTAGATGCCAGCAGAGAGTTGAGGATTTCTATGTCTTGTTACTGCCCCTTAGTGGTTAGGCAGATGTTTGCAGCCCAGATTTGCTAGCTGTATTCTAGGCTAGAATCTGCTTGCCAACCGTAGGTCTCTGGAAAAGGCACAGGCAGTCCAAGTAGCCTTCCCCATGTTCGCCCCCCAAGCAGCAAATGTTAATACCATGAAGCTTTGGAGATTCCACTCAGCCATTTTGACTAACCAAGCCAACTCCAAAATCCACAGCTGGATTTATAAGGAACATCTTTCAAAATCTGGAAAGGCTCATGAAGTCCCAGCTATACTGGTCTGTGCTTGGGTGACTGGGGTTCTTGGGTGTCTATCAGTGTGTAGGTTTGCGGTCTCTGTGTTGACAAAGGCTGTGATGCAGTGCCAGCTGATTCAAAGACGTGCATTTTTAGAATGTTTTGGAGGAAGGGGGGGCATTGGCACCCCCTAAGCTTTGGCACTCTAGGCCAGGGCCTAGTCAGCTGTAGCCGAAATTCAGCTCTACTGTGATGGGTACCTAGAGGTTGGGCAAGCAGGGGTAGATTGCAAGTACTGAAGCAAATATTGAAGAACCTGGCCTGGTATGGCACAAGAATTGCTTATGAGAGGGATAAGCGTGAATTTGTGCACATGGCTGTTTCAAATTTGTGTGTCCAAAAAGAGCCCAGATGGTTGAGAGAAGTTGCTTTCATGTGTCCCTCCATGTGTGAACCCAGTTACCCGAGTCTCTTAAATCCTAAACTGGCTGACTTGGAAAAACGTCCTATTTTTTTTCCCCATAAGAACTTCTTCCAAGTAAGTTCACTCAGGAGTGCAACTTTCACCATTCTAGTTGTGCTTTAGAGAAGAGAAATGATGAACTCATTTTTTGCAGACCTTTTAGATTTATTTTGTATTTATAAATGTACAATGTGTATGTATTATTTTATTGTACAGTGACAGGATTATGTTCTCTAGTTCTTGCCTGCATTCACTCAGCCTAAAATCTCAGGAGATACACTGGACTTTATTTCCACATCAGTGTGCAAATGAGAGGAGATAGGAGATGCAGAGATGGAAAGAAGGAAGGACATTCTGTAGCATATATGACAAAGGATGAGTAAGATCCAGAAAAACATGACGGTGAGAGCCTGTGTGTGATGATGGCAAACCTGTTCACAAGACTCTCCTCAGCACATTGGCTATACATGTGACAAGGGCTCACACAAACACCACTTTTAAGTGAACAATATATGTGGATGAATGTTTTGAATGAGGTGGAACTGGGGCATTTACCCCTCTATAAGATCGGGGGATCTCACATACTTTGGGCGTGTCATGTGAGTGGATGATGGATTACATAAATTATTCCAGGTAAGATTGAGAGACATAGAAGAAGGGGAAAACAATGGATATGGTGGGTGGAGGGGATCGAAGGGGATTACAAGAATTTCCCTAGAAGAGTTATGAGTTTCTGTTGGAGACAGGTTGAGAGAATGAACATTTCTTCCTGTGATAATAGGAATTGATGCTGAGTAGGTGGCACCTAATCAAGCAGTGAAGATTCAGTTGTCTGTATTTCTGAGAACTGTTTTGTAAGACAGATTTGTTTAAGACAAACATATTGTTTGGGTAAGACAACGTTTGAGGGAATATGGATGTGAGTGTGGATATAAGTTGACATCAAAGTGAAGGGTGAACAAAGGTTGCAAGATGAGGCTCCAGATGGCCATTCACAAAACTTTAATGGGCATATTAGGTGTGTGGGGAAAAAAATATTCAAGTGCATTCATGCACATATGAATGAGGAGATGTATGTATATGAGGCAGACCTGCTAGTTATATTAGCACATCATTTTAAGCTTTGGCTTGTTTGAATTATTGAACAAACCATAGTGACTTAGTTCATACATCTTGCTAAGTCATAAACCATGGCTGACAAACCACAGTGGCTGGATTCACACATTCCACTAAGTCAAAATCAAACAAACTCATTGTAAGGCATAGTACAATGTACAATTCCAGCCACCAGTTGTCAGGCATCTATATGCAGGATTTGTATACTTTATGAAATAGGCTCTGACTTAAAATGTCTGACAAGAAGAAGTTGATATGCGAGGTGACAGTCAATGTCGGAGAGTCTTAATGGAATGTGTGATGTAGGCCAGCTCTCTTCTCTTGGATTAAGAGATAGTTTGATCAAAGTTTGCGACTTCTCTACATGCACAGGCTAGGGAATTATACTTACTGTTCTCATCAGAATCATATCCGTCAGTGGATTCTCCTTCTCCGGTTCCTGGAGACACAGTTGTTGTTCCTTCACTCCTCATCCTATCTTGTGTTGTCAGCACCCCTTCCAGCCCAGGGTGTGGAAAATAAGCTGAGATTTGGGCAATGGGTCGTATTGGTCCTGGGGACACATCAATGGCCATGTGCTCTCGGATAGGGACTGAAGCACGATCTCCTCGGCGGACGGTCATTGGACGAGCAGTCAACTGTGCTGAAAAGGAAGAAAAATCCACTCATTAATTTTGATCCATTATTTCTATGTTCAGTTGTAGGTTGGTGTGCAAAACTGCCTTAGGCAAATTTACTTGAATAAAACCCATTGGGCTTGATTTTCAAGGAAACATGTGTCTAGGTATGATCTTAGTAGGTGGCATCCAACTTCTTTTCCTCCAGAAATGGGAGAACTTTAAGATGTAGCCTGATGTTTTGGCTACTGTGTATAAACTTTTGAAGATTCTCCCTCTAAGCCAGTGTTTCTCAACTTTGCCTGCTTTTAGCTGTGTGGACTTCAACTCCCAGAATTCCCCAGCCAACATGCTGCTTGGAAATTCTGGGAGTTGAAGTCCACACAGCTTAAAGCAGCCATGATTGAGAAACACTGGCTTAGAGGGAGAATCTTCAAAAGTTTATACACAGTAGCCAAAACATCAGGCTACATCTTAAAGTTCTCCCATTTCTGGAGGAAAAGAAGTTGGATGCCACCTACTAAGATCATAC